ACTTCACTCTTTCCAGCAACTACTACTCTTGTTGTTGATTAGAGAATGTAAAATTTGATATTAAAGATGATCATAATTGTTAGGGTTTTTTTTTATTTGTCATCAATAATTTGTTTATTACTATAAGCTTTTAAGCAAAAAATTGGTTTTCCAAATAATATTTAGTATATTATAAAAACTTTGGTGGTATCATAATTTGCCTTAGTTAACCGACTATAGGCATATTACAGAATGAATTACACTTTTATAAAAACCAAGTTTATGCTCTCATGATACTAAACTCGATTTCAAAGAACTGACTAACAAGAAGTAGATTTTATTTATTTAAGGTTAAAAATTTTTTAAATATATTAACCTTTCCAAAAACCAAAGATGAGGGATATTTTGCGGGATCCAAAACAACTGTATAGTCATTCCGAAAATTTATTTGAACAAAAATTAAAGTTTTGGGCTTAAGTAAAAATTATATTACGATTAACCGATTTTCTATTCAATGATAGATTTCCTGTCACAAGATATAATAATTGTAATTAGAATTTATAAAACTATTTTCATTAAGTTAGTAGCACTATATTATGTACTATGTTTATACTATTATAATTAATAAATACTTTGCAATATGTGTCATTTTTCATATAAAATCCATATAAAAATATGCTCAATATGTTCAATAAGTCGAAATGTAAACAAAATATTAAATTTGGACTCAGTCTGTTATTCAATCTATGGTACTTAAATCAGCTGTTCTTGCAATTATACTTTTGAGTGTTCTGCGATTGCACATAGCTTTCGTTGTGTAATAGTTTTTAGTAAAAATTTGTTATATTCATGGTTTCATGTAACCGATTTCATTAATATTCTGTCACATAGCTGGTTACCCAAAACGTTAATGCGTCAATACTTTGTTTAATATTATTCTTTAGCTTTTTATATATCTACAAACTAATTTATCATTTAAACAAAACCTACATTATGGATGTTATATACCTTACTCTTCTATTTCTATTCGTACTGCATAAATTGATTATTATTATGCATATCACATATAATTAAGTATATACCATGACATGTTCTGTCTCTTGTATTGCACTAAAATGGCTTGAAATTTTTTAATTTTACGCTTAATAGGATTAAATCACCGGTAAAGAAACTGGCATATATGGTTCTCTACTTCTGTTTAGAAATTCCCTGTGGTTTCGGTGTAGTTCGTTAGTCTCAAATTGTAAAGAGATCTGCATCTTATTGGCATCTAAATGCTTTGTAGTATGCCTTTTTCAAGCCAATTGTAGAGTTTTTTAGAGCAATAAACAACCACAAATGTAAAAAGAAAAAATAAAACAAAATAAACCGATTTACATGCGTTTTTTGTAGTTATTTTTTTAACTTGATTTCTGGCTTGTGGAATTTTTGACCTACATATTTTAATGTCAGTTACTTTATATAATTATTTTTTTCTTTCAACTGCATTGTACGAAAGCAATGCTCATATGCGCTAGCAGTGCTCTTAAAGGCTTACAACAAATTATGGAAATTTTTATTAGCAGCACTTAAAGTTAGAAATTTTAAGTTCTTTGTTATTGTAAATCAAAAAAACTAAAAAAAAAATCTCTGATTTTGGATATTAGTTTGCGGCACTTGTGTGGGAATCGAAATATTTGTAACATGTTTGTTTTGGCTGCCATTTCAATATTTTCCACTAACAAAAAGTCTATCTATATATGTATCTATGCAAGACACAGCACTTAACAATCAACCGCCTTAGTTGTGGCACAAAAGTATCTGTGTATCTGTGGTAGGAATGTAGCGCTGCAAAACAAAGAAAAGGCGGCAAATGTATACACAATCTACAATATAATACAATAAAATTGTGGTTACTAATTTGGTCAGCGCATAAAAACAAAAAAGTATTTTGTTTACCTTTTCGGGACTGAGTTGTAACTTTTTGGATTCACTGTTTAGTTTTTTTTTCTAACTATTTTTATAGGCCATATAACGATTGCCCGATAAGTGTTTCAAGTCTTTATGGCATGACATTATGTTCTCTACTTTATACAAAACAAAAAAAAACTTATTTAGTAGATATGTCATTGCTCTACGAAGTCTTGAAACCTTAACATTTTTATTAAATAAAATTGTGTAGATTTTAATCTTTGCATTTTAAATAAGTTTTTCATTGCAACTACAAAAAAAAAAGACAAAAAAAAAAATTGAATTTAGTGATCTCCACAAAATAAAAATTTCTAGATCACAAAATAAAAGAACAATAATAGTTTAATTTAATTTAGTACTTGAACTTTTCTGTTTCACTAGGAGAAGAGGAAGACGGTAGAATAGAATAGTAATAGTAATAAAATTTTGAGCCGTTCATTTAAATATGTTTATTTATTAATTAAATTTGAAACTATAAAAAAGAAATTAAAGTACCAAGTTTTATATTCTTTATAAAGCTAAAATATTTCTCGGTTACATACGTGTCAGGTGTGTGGTAAAAATCGTAATACTTCTAAACTTTATTTATTACTGAAGCCAAACACTTCACTTGAAAATATATTTAATATTCTTCAATAAACTAAATCTATGAAAGGAAGTGTGAGGATTATTAACTCAACTATGTAGGAATAAATAGCAAAAAATGTGTTAAGCTTACAGCTTCTTTTCTGTTGTCAACCAATGGATCATTAATTTAAATCAACAATGGTGAAATCATTCTCTTCAACATCTCTTAAGACTAATATATTATATATATTTATTATATATATTGCTATTTATATCGTAGCTTCTGGAGTTTATGGCGAATTTTACTAAAGCACATTAACTTATCTTAGATAATTAAAGATTTTAAGTCTGTCACTTTAACTTATATGTATCAGTAATAATAAGAACTCAAAATAGTTGTTGTTTCAAAGAAGGTAATTGACCTTAAAGCAATGACTTTATACTGGATCACCTTGGTTAACTTAATTTCGTAAAATAACATTGATTAAAAACATATGAGAGCTATGATGTAAATAATTAAGATATATTAATCTCAATGTAGTAGTTTGAAGATTCTAAAGAGAATGGAAACCATAGTTTAGCATTACTACAAAATGACAATGCATAGCCGCACATTACAGCTTAATAATGAGACAATTACTTTATATCTGGTACCTAATTTTTCAGCGCAATCGTAACCCACATGATCTTGCATTCTGCAGGAGCTAAGACGATTACAATAACTTCCATTAAAATAGTTTCTTGTTAGAATTTCGAAAAGATTTTAAAATCTTCTAAATTTATACGCAAAAATAGAGTATCATATCTAACTGGGTGTTAAGTAAAACTCATTGCTTAGTATATCTCTAAAGGAAGTGTTTTTTGACTTATTGTTTGTTGAAAGTTCAAAAAAAAATATTAATTTTTTTTTCATGATGGTAGCGAGATGGACTGCTTTATGAAATGTCAAACTGACCTTCGTTTGATTGGTGGGTGCCAGACTTCTTAACATATTAATAAGTAATATACGAATTAAAACATTCACTCATCGAAGAAACTATTTTTATTATTATAAGAATGAGAAATATCAACTAAATTATATTCATTAATAGTTAAATATACAACAATTATCATGTTACTTTATAATAATATTGTTATGAAATAGTACTAATTGTATTGTATATACAATGCATTAAAGCAACATGAAGAAGACGGTGCCTTGAACAAAAATTTTTTATTATTGTTGTCTTAGGTGATGGAACGATAGTGTTAGTACTTAGTATATGAATCATAAATAGCTTCTAACTGTAAAATAATTAGAAACCTATTTATCTTTTATTATTATTATTAGAATGGACAATGGTACTCTGCGATTTCTGAGCTCTATTGTGTTATCCTGGAGAAAGTATATTAAGTTACCCACAGACAATTTAAGACTATTGAAAAATTAAACAATATTTTTTGATTCTAGATTAAACGTAGCCACATAAATATTCATTCTACATAAACATTCATTTCTCATACAATTTTTTATAAAACATTTATTTTTTTTTTATTATATAGAATTTAAGTATTCATAGTTAATTAACAATCTTGAATACATTATTTTATTTTTGATGTGAAAAAAATTAAGTTATGATTGTAGTTATAACTCAATATAATTCAAATAAAACTATAGTATCTTTTATTGGTGTGCTATCTTCAACGTGTCGCAGTTTCTTAGATCTCGTCTTCGAGGCAGGTTATTTTAAAAACTTAAAAACAGTGCGAAACATTGGCAAAACAAATCAAATAAAAAAAGATTGGAATAAAAAAGTGAACAATAAATGTTTTAAGTTTTTATATATATAATTGTTTACTCCAGTTTTAACACATCACAAATAATGTAAAATAATTAAAATTATACAAAAACACAACCGCCGATTCCAAATCAACAATTTTGCAACTCGAACTTATTTTGAAATTATATTTTATATCAAAAATTCAAGAAAACAATTTGTTTAAAACACAATTTCTTTTTTGGAATTACATTTTACACACCTATGGAATATATAATAAAATCACAACTAAAAATAAAAAAAAAATAATTTTCGTTGAAAACTACACACACAAGCAACTGCAAAATTTGTATTTATTTTGCCATAAATTGCAAAATTTCCCATCAAAACAATAAATCAGACATTTCCAGTAAAATGCAACACTGCAAGTAGGGGAAATATAGTACAGAACAATTATGTTGGAGTTTGATTGGAAGTCGTAGTGAAGTTGGAAGAGAGATAAAAAAAAAAACAAAATAAAACAAGCAGGACAAGGTTCCAAAAAGGAACATAAAAAAGGAGCGCCCTTTTTCAATGTACTTTTTTCCTTTTTAGTTTACTTTGTAAATTGCGAAAAAACTGGTACTTAAGCGGAAAACACATTGCATGAAATTGTATAGTAAAAAAAAAACAATAGAATAGAAAAATTCTTTTCATATGTATTCCTCATATGTATGTATTATTTAAATGTTAGCCGTTATTACTCACCTTATCCTTTTGTTTCTTTAGCACAAATTAATCCAGTTAAGGTCAGAAATGAATGAAACGTGCTATTGAAATCGAGCGCCAAAATGTTTTATTCCAATAATTAATTTTAAGTAATTGTTATATTTGTGTTTCCTCTATTGTTTACAAACAATTTATGCACAATATATTTGGTCATAACAATTAAACTTTCACTTTGTATTTGAATTATATTCCATTCAAATTATGTTTTATTTTCTCATTTTATTATAACACTAAATAAATAGCAAACACATATTGCTTGTTATATTTTCTAATTATTATTGCTTTCGTGTTCACAAATTTATTTCACTGGTATTTTATTAACAACACATGACAAATGCCATTATTTTTAAGGTTTCCTTTTAACGATGCTTTTTCGTTTGTGGTAAACAGTTTTTTATGTAAACAACTTTTTTCCCGTGGCTTGTATTTGCCAATTTAGCAAAAAAAGTAAAACACATAGGATTGTGAACTTGCAATTGTTTAAATGGACAATATTGATTTCGTTTTGCACAAATACTAATTGTTAAACAATTTCTTATTCGACATTAAAATAAACACTCAAAAACAGTAAATGACAGTCGCATTTACTACTAGTATTAAGTTGCTATATTTTCACTTTACGTTATTATCTCACTGTAGTACAATTATTTTTTATTATTGTATTTCATTCGTTTTATATATTATAAACAAAAACGCAGTGGCACTCTGCATAGATATTTTTAATGTTCAAAAAATGCAATATTTAATCCCAATAAAATACGCGGCCACGAGAGTACCCACGTCCGACTAATATCAACGCTAAACCAGAATGACGACAAAGTACGAAACGAAGACGATAAATGCCTTTCAGTTCCAATGAAACAGAGTTGCCATTCCACTTTACTGCGCACGAAATTTGCGATTTTAAATGCATTTAAGCAACGTTACCTATGTTAATTTAAACAATTAAAGCTAAGAAATGAAAAATATTCTAATTAATTAAATTATTTTAATTAAAAAGTACGAAGAAACAAGTTATCTTAGTATAAAATTCAGAAAAGTTATTTCATGTACTTAACACAAAATTTTGTGTCAATACACAATAATTGCATAGAAAAACATGAAAAGAAATATGAAAAAATTTCCCACACAAGGGATATTTTTGCGTTTTGTTATTGTGTTTGAGCGTGCATAATATAAAATTCAAATTGAACTCTTGTAATTGTTCATTATGCTTTCATATAATTATTTCTGCTTTATTTTTATTTTTATTTTTATTATTGAAAAGTGGTGGTGGAATTTGATTGTTTTTGTTTTGATCTTATTTCTTTTTTTGTCTATATTTCTATTAGTGGATTAAAAGCGGTTTAAATTTGTGTAGAGTTATTATTACAGACAAATTTTAGCAACCTATAAGAATTTTTGATATTATTTGGAATTTTTGAATTGATATTCATTATGCAAAGTAATTTAATTAATATAAATAATTAGTCATTTAAAAATTATAATTTTTAGTTGAAATTTTACATTTATTTTCTTCTAAGTGTCTTAATAGTAATAAAAATGCTGTTGTAACCCGCTGAGACCTGTATGCAGATAATATGATAGGATATACAAGACGATTCCATGGGTAGGGATATGAATGGGTAGTGGTTGTGGGTGTAGGAGGTGGCAATGATGGTGGGTGGGATTTTATTGTACATTCCTGGTTCCAAAAACGACCAGGAAGCATAGAATGAAATGGATTTGCAGACTAGAGTCTGTCCAATGTCTAATAGTTAGCGGTGTACAAATCGAGATTACTTTTTTTAATAATCGGTTAATGATGACTTCTTAATTCGTTCACCTACAAATCGAAATACAACGCATACTTTATGGAATACGTCTTCGGCAACAAATTCACATAAGTCGAGTTTGATTAGAGTATTAAAATGGACTGATAGTGGCTGATGTTAAATAACCTATTATTAGAGCAGATTTTTAAAATTCGTGCGATTTATTGATTGTGTGCGTTAAAAGTTCGAGAAAGTCGTCCAAAAGACAGATATTATTTGTACGTGCCAATAAGGCGCAATGAAGACCCAAGCATATGATGACAAATCAATAATATATAGAAACATAGATCAAAACAGATAAAGTAACATATAGAAATATCGTTATGCTTATAAAAACTCTTAACTGTGTTTTTGAAGCTACAAAAACTATGTTGCGGATTCAAAAATCCTAGAGCTCATATCAAACTGTAAGGTTATTTAATGATGATGATGTGTTAAGAGTAGCTATATATATATATATATATATAAATATTATATATAATTGCCTCAAGTCGTAAGAATAATTGCCAACCATAATACTCGATGTTGTTCGAATATGAAATATTGGTCATATTCCAAATCTTAACGACTATATTGTTTAAAATTCAATTAAAATTTTGAATAATATTTTTGTTTCAACTTTTGAAATATTTTGAAAATTCAATATAAAACCGGTGAGTATTTCAGCTAAAAGTTTTGGAAAAAATTTGTATTTAGATTTATGATTTTAGAAATATTTTTTTTTAAATCCATTTACAAGATATCCATCAACTTTCTTACCCCCCTTTTTACATGGCATAAAATGAATTGTTCTTCAACTGCTAATTCGGAAGCGTAATTAAGTGAGCAATCCTCTTAATTATCAAATTTCCATATATCGCTTCATCAGCATTATCTGATGACATATTTGACTACATTTAATCAACTCTTAAATCAGCCAGCATGGACACACTTACTAGCGAAACAAAATCGTAACCCATTAGGAGAAGTTCTGAACGTAAACAATATCAGATTTCAGGAAATTTATGAAATTGTACGCACAGCACGAAAGGGAAAAGGGACAGGAAGTTTGCGCTTTGAACTTATGAGAATGACGCGTGTCAAATAAAATTTTCCCCACTTTTTGAAATGCGATTGAATTGATTTTGAGGGTAAACAGAAACCCACGCAATGCGAAAAATTATTGTTAGCTCCCCTGCTCCATTGAGGATGTCGCAAAAACACCCCTAAAGATGTTTTCCACACCGATACTAACATCGTTTTATGGCAAAGCTAATGAAGTTTGGATGATAAGTTGCGATTACTAAGTTGGAATTACAAGGAATTTTGCATTAAATTTGCAGATTTAAAGCCACAAAATGTTTAAGGATTTGTTATGGCACTACACTCACTCCATCCATCTAACGGACTCTTGCAAAATTGTTTTATTTAACTCTAAGCAGTTGTACAAACTCCCCAAAATCAGAATCCAAAACCGAAAACTATACTATATTGCCTGTCAACAATATTTTTTCTACATTTTCAAGTGCTCCTCTAAAGCCGACGAGCAAACATACCAAATAGAGCATAAGAACATTGCAATTCCGCCGGAAATATAATAAAAATAAATACGGCAAAACGAATGTAGAGAAAAAAATTTCATCTCAAATGTCTATGGAGTGCGCATAGAATTTGTAGTTATTTCCGTTTATGACTCATGCAGCAAATAAATTGGACGTCTGCTGGTATTGCAGATGCCGTATGGATGGTTACTGTGAATGTCGTATAAATTGCAATTCTCAATATACTTTGATCCAAATGTAATTTTTATCGTTCTTCGATTGCTAGGCCATTGGAATTGCTAGGTGCCATTTATGTTGATAGGAGTGTGTTTGAGATGATTGAATACTTCAGTTGGTTACCTCATGAAATTTAAAATGTTTCCGTTTGCAGGAGTTCGGAAATGGAATTATTTTATATTGTGGTACTCGTATTTTAAATTAAAGACAATTTGCGGATTTTTAAATTACAGATACTCTGAATTTTTATATTAAATAAAAAAACCACTTAAGTAGGATTTTTCTTATTGTAATGACATGCTCCTTTCTTGTGAATACAATGAAGATTGAATAAAGACTTACTTCAACAACTTAAGTCTAGCCTGTGGATGAAGAGGAAAATTATGCTTATCGTGACTGTTACTGCGAAGCATTTGCCAGAAGACGTCTAACCATTTAAAATTTTTACGTTCTTTATCGTATATCCAACAATTTTAATATGGGTTTTGATGATATTTATATTTTTATCACGAAGACACGGTTGTTCCTCTGTCCAGAATAGATGTATCTCACATTAAAAATCTTATTAACTAGTGGCTTAAAACGTCTTTGTGATATCATAACCCACTTCTTAGGGCTTAAGTGTATCTATTCTTCTATCCAGTGGACTACGTTACACTGGCATTTATTTTTTATAAACACACGATCTTATAAAATAGTAGAGTAATTTTATAAAAACTTGAAATATTCGCTGAAATAGAACTTTCCATTCTATTTATAATAGACAATTTCTCATATAAATTGTTGATTTTATTAATTAAGCGCAAAAGTGAATTCATTATTTTTAATTAAATTTTAATTTTTTTTGAGTAAAGAAGTTAGTCAGCAATTGAGTATTACATTTTTATTTACATATGTCTGTCTGAAGAGATAGATTGTTGGCTCTGCTTAGAAGCAGACGAGACTTCCAGTCACATTCTCTGTGACTACCCAGCCTTGATCTGGACCAGGAGGAGGTCACTAGGTCAAAAACTACTCTCTTTCCCCTTCTGACATTAGGAGGTCCTCAACGGCCGACATTCTGGCTTTCATTCTGAAGTCGGGATGTCGTCTGTTCGGTTAGGGTCTATTGCAGCACAAAATATCAACCAGATCGCAGTACTTCGCTCCGTTGGGAGCTAGTACTCCGTTTATTCCTATTCCTATTTGAACTTTAACTTATTCTCAATATCGGACAAAATATTTTCAATAAAAAATAATAAGGATTTTTGTAATTTCATTCAATTTGTCACACTTCTACAAATTTTACTATAGCATAAAAATTATTCTTTATTATATTTCCATTTAATATTTAAACATTTAAAATTATATTGCTAACATCTTCACAAAATAATTATAGGAAATTGCATAATCACATTTTGTCTCATAAATATGCAATTTGATAAGGTAGCAATTAACAGGAGGCAATCCGGAGACTGCTTGGAATTAAGTCTGAAAATTTGTATGACTCTCCGATAAGAACAGAAATTGTAATTTCAGCATATCTCATTAATTTACACTTTACGATGGTTTTCAGCACTCAGGAGGGTATCTTCTCACCCAACACAAATAATGAATGTGGATTTATTAAATGCGCCAGAGTGGAAGACTCTTCAAACTCTGAGTGAAACATAAAAATATAGATTCAAAAATTTACAGCAGGAAAACCACTTAAATAATATAAAATGTACAGACGAAAAAAAAAAATTTATTTCCACACAACAACAAAAAATCATAATAATAATGCTTCGTCCAGGATAAGCCATGTGGTTGTTTGGAAAAACTAAAAGAAAGGATGCGATGTTCTTCGAAAATACGCGAACAAAATTTGTGCGTTCGTCCGCAACTGAGCAAATATGAATACCAAGGAAAACATGACCCAAGGATGAGGTAATGTAACCATTTAAATTCATAATAAAAACACATTTATGTTCTGTTAAAACGACGTATCGACACATTGACACATCCAAACAGCCGCTGTTGTTGTTTTTTGGAAGTCGAAACGCTTTTATGCCAGCCACTCGCATTTTAAGCGGAAAGCATTTTTAGGGCTCTGGGAAAGATTTTAGTCTAAGTACTAAAACAATATTTGTCGACACGTAACGCGAGCACCAATTGGATTATGACACAACAATAACAATAACAACAACAACAACAACGATATGACACAATAACACAACATTAAACATAATAGCAACAATAGCAACAACAACAG